TCATAAATCTACTCAGGCCATAAGTTGCAAGTTAACGAAAATATTTCTCATTTGGTTCATAACCACCAGCTATTGCTGCAGCTGAATATCCCCACTTTGATGAACTATAGTGGTAATATTTTCGTTAACTTGCAATCAACAGAGGTTCTATTTTGTAATTTTGTTTTGGAAGATGAGGGGAAAATCCCATTTATTCCAATCAGGGAATGTTGTAACTCATCAGTATTGTCGAAGAATGCTGTATTTCTATTTCATTCTGTGATCACCCTCTTGACCCTCAAAGTAAAGTATTGTTCCTTCTTTGCCGTCTACTTTACCATATACAGTTGAGAATCCCCGCTAAAAAACAAGATAAATTCAAGGTATTGTGGAAAAAAAAAAACTGTTGGATTATAGTTAAAAATCCCAAATAAAACAAAGAAGTTACTCAATTTCTGGTCTTTTCTTCTGTAGCTTGCATAGAGGACTTATAGGAGAACGGATCATCTCACACCTATCATTATTAAAAAAACAGCGTGAACATAGATTGAGTTAGGGTTAGGGTTAGGGTTAATAATTATAATATCAAGTTGATAATCACAAGAGAGGCTATACGCAGGCAACACCTGGTTGTAGACTCCGTTGTTCTTTATTTTATTTTGTGTTATTTATATATATATAACTCTACTTTTGGACAGTATAAAGAGATTGAAGCGTGTGGCTTTGATTTAAGAGCATCTAGTCTTGGCAAGATGCTACATAGCCTTGACCAGTGAACCTTTGTCCCCAAATACTGGCAATCCCTTGTTCACAATCTGTTGTTTTATTAAGTGGTTGAAAAGGTGATAATGACATCCTACATGATTAAGAGAAGAGAATACTAAATTTGAACTGTGTAGATGTAATTTGAATAATACAATTTCACAACAGATATGAAGAAGAAAGCTGCAAAGGAGAGAAGCCGGTTTTACGCGTTTGGTGAAATACATGAGACGTATTGTTTGGTATGCCATCATTTTAACTTGATTATTAGATGTTGCTTAAACATGGTATTTAATCGTAGAATTTTAATTTTTGACCAAGTTAGGAAGTTTTTATGAATTTTGGTGTTGTTGATATTCAGGGTCAAAATATATACGTGAGACTGAGAATGTTGGATATTTAAAGGGAGAATTATATATTTATTGTGGTGAATATCTTTCAGAGATCTAAAATTTACCTCAATCATTAAATAATTTTTTAAGAAATAAGTGAGGAAATCAATTCTAATTTTTGTTCTCACTCACTAAACTAACTAACTATTTCTTAATCCTTATAGTAAATATAGGAAACTTGAATCCCTGGATATCTGATTAGGTTTGGATCCTCAAAAATGTTAAACCACAGCTTTCACATTGAATGAGTGCATCAATATGATACATCATATCTAATTAACACATAGAGTAATTGTTTCGCTTCATTTTCTCAAGTTTCAACTAACAGATAATAGAGGTTAAATGTAGCTTTATAACTAAATAACCCCTAGATCTTTATTTGCTGAATCAGATTTATAAAGAGATTTCTTTTTTTGGTATGTAATGAGCATATGTACACTCAATGACGATTGATTCAAGTGGAAGAGATTCTTTTTAAGTAAAATTGGGGCTTCAAATTTTTTGGATGGAAGAAATTACATGAGAAAAGTTATCTCTAATTAAACTTGACAGAGTTTAAATATGAAACCTAAGAATACATGATATCATATAGTTATAGTGTTAATGCCCTTTTTTTTTTCCCCAATAAATGTGTCCACATTCATCTAACATTATGAAATATTTTGTGTTTAGCACTCTAAAATATTTTGTCGTATAATTTTTCCCTTAAAATACTTATTAAGGGGTTGGACATAAAGAAAGTAATTCAAAATACTAGATAAGTGACAAAATATTTTAGATACTATACGTATTTAAAAAAATACTTTAAGATGTCATATGAATCACAAAATATTTAAAAGTGTCCAACATGTAGAAAAATATTTCATGCTACTGGATCAACACTAACCCATAAGAGTATATTAAAAATTAAAAGATAATATCTGTTGCATCAATTAAAAGATAAGATCTGTTGCATACATATACATGCACTTATTGTATGCAATAATTTTTCTACTTAAACAGTGGGCTGTCTCGGCAATAACATGATAAATTTAATAATGCCTTAGACATTCTAATTGTAATTATTATATGACACAGCTATGCAATTGTGACGTTAACGTTTCCAAATGTATAAATGCTGCAATAAATTAATTAATTAAAAGGGCAAAAGGATAACTTTGTAATCCACAGTCCAGTCCCCAAGAATGGCGCAGTTACAGGAAGACAGTAAATGAAACGCATTGGGATCTCAGTTTAATTCATTAATTAATCAATAACTTCAGAAATTGTTTCAATATTTTGGGTGATTAATTAGCTTCAGATTCTGACTTACTCAAGCATCAAAGATATTAATGGACCCATTTGCTTTTAATTAATAAAATAACAAGTTGAAGGTGTGTATGGTATTGACACGAAGATACGCAAAAGTCAAGGAATACAGCTCAGTTCAACAATCCCGTGCCCCAAACATCGCCACAAGCCGTGTGTTTGTGTTGGTCAAAGATTTAATCTTTCTTCATTTGTTTAATCCTAAGTTGCAGTAACCAAATATGCATGCCCTTGTTGCTTCATGTGAGTCTCCAACCCTGCTGTCATCACTCTGGTTTCTTCCCACTCTCTTCCTTTCCATCATGTCTCTCTTCTCTATTCCACTTGTCATGTTCATATCAAATTTTAATCATGGAATTCAATATATTTCCTCCCATTTCAACATATGAGCTAGTTGAAGAGTTTGTTTTGATCATAAAGATAAAACCTTTATTCATTTTGCCCTTTAAATTTACAACATCTGCTAAATTATTCCTGTTTGATTGTATATATTAAAGGGTTTTACGTCAACGGGTATCTTTTAATATAAATGATTAAATAGTATAGTTTCCTTAATTTTTACTCTCTAGTCTTGTATGTAAGAACTAGTTGAGGGATTTGTTTGGGTTTTAAATATAAGAGCTAGTTAATTATTTATAATTGAAGGGAGTATTATAGTAGATCATCCACTTTGCAAAGAGAAACCTATCCTTCTCAGATCTAGACAGACCCAATTCATTTCCCAAATGATGCATAACTGTAATTAATTAGAAAAAAATAATGGGGTTTTAGCTGAGGATTATTTTATGTTCATACTGAAGTCAACCCGACTGAGACACCAGATTTGCCACATGGGGATTGTCGAATGTCATCAGGGTTCAACTGGTTAGGTATTTGGGTCTGCAACTTTGGGCATTTTTTAATGAAAAGGTATCTGATGGATTGGGAGAGAAGAGAGATTGAACGTTGGTTTGAAGTTTCTGTCGTGTGAGGTTAGGTTTTAAGTCAAAGATTTGTGCCTCAAAAACCAAGCCAGAGCAACAATTTCCAAACACAGAGATTATGGCTTTTAGGCTTCTGGGTTAGACATTGGATCTTATGACCTGTTTCTGTATTGGACATTGGGAATCCTTAAATAACACAGATCAAGTTCGAGATTTGTTCACTCCCAATTTAAATCATAATTCGACATCCTGAGCTGTAATTTATGTGGCCAAAAGTATTATTTACTAAACATGAAGGGGCCTTATATGTAAATTTTGTATAAAAAAGTCAACTCCGTCTGTAAATCGCCACATAGGGTTAAACAAGTTAATTTATCACCCTAATTATTATGCTCACCAAATGGGTATAAAAAAAAGGAGCTTTTTCGTGGGTCCACGTTTGGTTCTTTAAATTATTATGTTTGCTTTTCTTTTTTCCCGGAAAAATTATTATGTCTGCTAATGCATGGGGCATTGCCTATTAAAATGTGATAATTATATAATTAACTAAAATTTACAGATTCAATGGGCCATAAGTTGGCCACTTCATGGGCTGGATTCTTTATAGTTACACACCAGAGGCAGTTTCTGGCATATCATTGATCAAATGGACAGAACAAAATTTTACCCCCCCCTCTCCAAAAAACGACAGAACAAAATATAACACAAATTTGTGCAAAAAAAATATAACACAAATATTTTCTCTTTGGTATATACTAACACAAATATTCTTTGTAACTTTATATTGAATGATTGGACATGTGGAAAAGCCTTGATGAAAGATTATATCGTCCAAAGCTAGAGATCGGTAATGTCCTATTAAGTGTTTGCAATCTCCATTTCATGATCTTTATTAATGATATTAGGAAGCTAGTTTTAATCTGTGTCTTGTATATTGGTTTGTTGTTAAAAAGTTGTCTACTTATTTTTGTTGTTATTGCTTGTTTAATTTGTAATACATTCATACAAAAAGAAAAAGTGTATGTAAAATCCAGTGATTTAATTAAAGAAAAACAAGAAAAATATATATGCAAACCCATTACTCGTGGCCAAGCTTCATCCCCCAACTCCAAGTGATAAAAATTACAACGATAAATAAAACTTTAGTTCGACTTCAAGAAATAAACCAAGTTAAAAACTAGAACATTGTTTTATTTGGCAAGCAAATTTCTGTTCATAATCAGGCACCATTCACTTGTTTCTACCACCTAGGTTGTGCTACTGTTTGGGGTTACACCATGCTTTGCATTATTTTGCAAGGTAAAACATGTTACAAAAGTGCTTTTGGGTTTGTACAAAAAAAAAAAAAGTGCTTTTGGGTTCGCCACCCCAAACACGTTAGAACAAGGCCTATAGAAGAATACTGGATCACTTTCAATCTGTGGCACTCCGGCCACATTCTGTTATTCCTTCTAAAACAGCAGCTACAAAAGTCCTATTATAATTCAACAACAAACCATCTTAGGCAGAGTATGAGTTAAGTATCTTGATCATTAGGACAAGCAGACATGCAAAAAATATATGGTCATCTAATTATCTCCACAGATGAATCGATTTTCCAAACAAACTTGAAGGTAGCTAAGGCTCAGCAACAGAGTTTTTGAAAGATGAAACAGAGCCAAACCTCAATAATGCAGTAGATGATCATGTCTACTCTCGCACAGAAGGATGGCAACAACTATACAAATGTTTACAACCGGTTCAGCCAAAGATCCTACAAGATTCTTTGAATCTATTCCTTTGTTTTATACCTAAGAAGCAGGAATACCACGACACAACGAAATATGCAGTGCCCTAGTACAATTTGAAGTGTCATAAAGTGTGAGTATCAGACACATAAAACAAGTTATGGCTCTGTTTTTTCAGAGTACTAGTGCTTCATAGGTTTTTCCATGCACAATTAAAATATATATATTCACAACATTGATTCTAGTAACAGACAGAACCTTCGTAAAATTTCTTTTCAACAAAACCTGTTTGACAGCATAAATATAACCTGCAAGCCAAACTAGCATCTAAGAAGCAGTTGAAACACTGAGAAGCTTCATCATGAAATTGAACTTAACATCTGGTGAGGTCTTTGGCTGGGGCCAGTTTGCTCCTTCGGGCACCTTAATACTTTTGAAGCCTTGGCCTTGGTATAGCTTTGTGGCTACAGTATTGTTCAAATCACAGTGTAATGCAATTGCACGACATCCCCAGGTTCTGGCCTGAGATTCTGCTTTTTCCACTAGTTTTTTAGCGATACCCTTGCGTCTGAATTTTTCCCGAACTGCCACATTGGATATGTACGCAACTCCAGTCCTACAACATAAATAGTTTTTTCTCAAGTTATCAGAAAAGATTTACAGGTAAAATCTGTTCATAACATGTCAAATCCATAGAGTTTGCTATCTTTTGGCAGTCTTCCAGTCATCTTTTGACATCGTCTTACAGTTTATTTTTGAAGAATTGAGCATGTGAATGCAAGCCTTACAATAAGTTTTTATACTAAATTTCAACGAAATAAAATGTAAAGCCAGACCGCCAGGATACTGTCATTATAAAATAAGTAAAATATCGAAGAACTTTGAGGGACAATGGAGGTTTTAGAAGCCTCCATGGAACTAAGATAACGAATGCAGGGTCAAAATGAATTAGGAAAAATGCAACTTGTGCATATCTTGCTTAAATTCAATCCCCTTTTTATAATTACTGATCAAGTTTAAGAGATCTGAAAAGTGATACTCATAGTCTCTTTGACTGCAATATTTTGCGAAGTACTATATATAGATGACCAAATGAAGGGGCAATAATTATATATATAAAGTTTAAGCAAGACGCTTTAACCACATATACACAAGTCAACATAAATTGGATGCATTTCACTCCAAAAACAAAAAAAAATCATAAATTTGGTGCAAGACAATAACTGCATATACTAAAATTTAGGCTGATCCAAATGAATTCCATTTTTAGTCAGTCATGAACCACAGGTTAGTTCATTAATTTCCATTCCCAAATTAGGATTTTGCAGGTAAAGTTAGCATTTTTATTTGCCAACATACAACGTCCTCCAGGAAAATGGTGAATTCACAAATCAAAACTTGACATCATTTTACTGGCCTGATCTTGAGCATCACCAGTCCTAAAGACTGATAAACCGAAGTAATCCAAAATCCGGTGGTAATTTCTGCACTCACCTTCTCTGTCTCAGCGGTCCTTTTCGCGGTAGAAAGTCTGCAACAGTATCTACCGTTAATATACCAGCCACATATCCCTTGTTGAGGCTAACTCTCCCATCAAGACCTCCAATCTTGAAATCTTCATTCCCAATGAAGAGAGTTTCATTAAGTGAGCTGCCAATAACCGCAACCAAACAGGTTTTTTTGCAACCATTTGGTAAAGAGAATCCTGCTAACATTGCCACCATTCTGTCCATCCTCAGAACAAAATCCAATGGGAATGAATATTCAGGGAAGAAGGAACTGCAGTGAGTCTCGGCTACTTCCCAACAGTCTTCTAACCTGGCCTCTCGAACTATGATTTCCGGAGACATAGTTGGGAATAGATCAACAACTTGACTAGCTCTGCAAAGTCCTACATCCCAACACCAGAAATTTAACTACCCTGAAAGTTAATATCTCTATATGATAACTAGCAAACTCCCCCTCACCCCATGTAGAGAGTTCATCCTTCTAATTAAGTCTTTAATATAGAGCTAATTGTAATTCATTTTTATGGGACATGTAGAGTTACACAGGATGCTGCTCATAAAAAACAATGTTATTTCATATTACTCAAAAGTCATTAACTGGATTGTATATTTTATAGTTCATTTATCTAATCATGTCTTCCCTTAAACTGATTTACCATTTGCCCTCAGGCAAAAAAAACATTTACCATTTGCCAAATTTTTTTATATCTTCTTCGTTCAGTTTTGCTATTCCCCTTCCTAATCATGCCAATATCACAAGTTGACGAAAAGCCTTTGAAATTTCTCAGACCCATGCCCCATCCCAGAATTACAGGGTTGATCATAGGCATGCCAAAAACAACAGATTCGACTAGCAATCAACAGCATTTTTTAACAAGAAAACTTGAAAACGGAAAACCCGCCAGGGCAATGTAAATGAGAAGCTAAGAAGCACCTGATTGGCAGAGTGAAAGGAAAGAAAATCCATTAGCAGAGGAAAGAGAAACCCTTGACGGGGAAGACCCTGGTTTTCTGAAATTAGCGAAATTGAGGGAGGACGAAGATTTGGAATTGTTTCCAGGAGTTGGGGATGCTGAGATTCCCAAGGGAATAGTCCGCATTTCTCGAAGGGTGTATCTGATAGTGGTGGACCTCCCTCAGTCAGAAGAATCCCAGGATTCTCTTCTCTGGATTCTCCACACAGCAGAGGGTGCGAATCATGAGGCAGGAGTGCAGGACCCAGAGAGAGAAAGAGAAGGAGGCCGATGAATCCGAGTCGCTAAGCTTCCAAATTGGACTACCTTGTGGCTAGTAGGCCGTGGCAAGTGGATACGAGAGGTTCCGTTTGTTGCCACAACTGGGCTAACGTTGCCTTGTTTTGTTTCTTCGTGTTAGGTCTCTAACATGGCCATACACAAACTTTTTTTTAAGAAACAGGGGATTGGCCACTACCTCCGGATTTGTTTAATTTTTATTTTAATTTTAAATACAAGACTCTAATTTATTTTGTTTCTTATATATATTTTTAAGATAGTCTCTATAATAATAGTAGTTCTAACCAATATACTCTTTCGGTCCTTAATATAAAACCCATTTAATTAATTTGATTAGATTAAGGAAATTAGGTAAGTTAGTTAATTATAGAAAATGTGACACGTTTTTCCTAAAACACCATAATCATCTTTCTTAATACTCTCTCTTCCTCTCATACTTGATTATGGTTAAGGAAGTATCCATAGGAATAATTTAGAGAAAACTGATAAATATGAGAAATGGGTTTTATATTTAGGACCAAAACCAACTCAACAATTGAGTCCTATATTAAGGACCGGAGGAGTACTTGATTAGCAAAAATATTTTAAGAAAGACAATATTTATTTATTACAAATAACTAATTTTTTAACATACTTAAATTAGTCAACTAGTTTTTATATTAAGAACTAGAGGTGCTAATAAATTGCTAGGAAAGGAATATGCTACTCTCTTCGTAAATATAAACATACACACACACACTACTTGCGGTTGTTAATAATTTAATATAAAAATTAATTGATTAATTTAAGTAGATTAAAAAATTAGTTAAGTTAGTTATTAGTAATAAATGGATGTTATTTTTTTAAAAATATCCTTGCTAATCAAGTGTATTGGCTAAAACTAACATTATTATAAAGACTACCTTGAAAAAAATGGATAAATATGAAGACAAAATAAATTAAAGTCTTATAGTTAGGACCAAAATAAAAGTCAAGTGAGTTTTTATATTAAAGACTAGAGGAGGTAATATAATACAGCAGCTAACTGTAGGATTGGATTTGTTTCTAAGTATAATATCTTAATCTACCATATTCTTTGTATCTATTATTTTTTTTAGAATTAATTTATTTAACTTATAAACTAATTTATAATCTAATGTTATAAAAAAAATATTTTAAAGAGATCATGTAATATTTGTTATAACTAATTTATTTATTTATTTGCCTTTTTTTAACTATCTAAATTAGTTAAGTTGCTTGAGATGAGCATTTAACAATGTATTTTAGACAAAAAAAAACTAGTTAGTTCAAGGGTTAGAAAAATATTTTATTATATTTTAAAGTTTCTCTATAATTTTGTAATCAGTTAATTGTTCAGAGATAAAATGTAATTTTTAAAATTAATAATTCATATTAAAATTTAAAAATACATGCATATATGGTTTATTTAATTACTTCTCAGATTCCAATATTTTTTTTGAAAAATCCTCACTAATTATTTTCTAGCAAATGCCGATGGATGTTTTGAACATCAAATGAGTCTTGGGGATGATGGGCTTCTATGCCGTATCATCCATTGTTTTTTTTTTTTGCTAAAGCATAGGTATCTTCTATTAGAAACAATCTTATTGAGGCACTGTCGGGCACTAAATATGGACACATCTCTCAGTGGGGATTCGAACCTTGGTTCACCACGTTATGAGGGACTAACCTCTTTCACTAGACCCAACCCCTATTGGTTCATCCATTGTTAATTGAACTAACAGCTTCGTTAATGGGAAGTACTGGCATTATTAGTTCCAAAAAAAAGTATTGGCATTGTTAGTGGGAAAGCACTTAGGGAGAATTACAATCAAGTCTCATAAAAGAAAAAAATTACAAAATAAGTTCCAAAAGTTGTCATTCTCTACTGTAGGACTTGTCATTTCAGATTGTTTAGGTTGTTATTGAGATCTTTTAGTAATTATTTCTCTTATGTTATGTGGGACTTAATTGTAATTCTTCCAAAAACTTATATCAAATTATTTATATTCATCATGTCAAGTTCTCTAATCACACATAGTCAGGTCATATGTCCTTTTTTGTTTCATATGGATTGGTAATTAAATAATATTAAATGTCTTTTTTGTTGAAAAAAGTTTAGATGAGTTAAGTCTCGGGAGCTCATCAAAGCCAATATATGCCTAAATACTATTAAATGTTAACATTTTAAAAATAGGGTACATGATCATGTCTAATTAAAGAACTTGACATAATGAATACAAGTAACTTGATATAAGTATTGTCTATTAATAGTGTAAACATTAACCATTCCATAAAAAAAAAAACTATAAGGACTCATTCAAAATTTGATAAAATTATAAGGACTGCTAGATTAAATTTCTCCAAAAATTACTTGCACACGTGTTTTTGCAAAAATTTGGGGGGCAAAAAGATAAGTCTAAAAATGTTGCAAATTACACATTCCTGTTTTTATTATAAAAATCTCTTGCATATTTTATTAGATAAAATTGTCTAAAAGCATTGTTTCACTACTACAAAAAAGTTCATTTTCATCTGAAATTGAAAACAGACGCATATGGGAGCCCATACTCATCAGTTGGGACAAAACAGACGAATATTGGCTCCCACATTCGTCTGGTATACGGACCAGACGAAAAAGGTAGCCCATATTCATCTAGTCGGTCAGACCAGACGAATATGGGCCTCCTATACGGACCAGACGAATATAGGAGGCCCATATTCGTCTGGTATATGGACCAGACGAATATCTGAGCCCATATTCATCTAGTCCGACCAACCAGACGAATATGGGCTCCCCTTTTTGTCCCCCCGCCCCTTACTCCCCTTCATTTTCACCCTCGTCTTTCATCAGTTCGTCCCTCAGCTCTCCCACAAGTCGACACCCTCACTGTCTCCAAAACCCCACACTCTCCCCTCAACTTGCCATCTGCATCCCTAGCCCCCCTGTCCCCCCATCTCCCGTCAAGTGGCCCCACCTGTCCCCAACTCTGGCATGGTCCCCCTAGGCCCTCCCCCCGTGTCTCCACTCCCCTGTCTCCACCCCTGAACACCCTTGCCCCCTCGACCCTACGCCCGCCCCCCCAACCAAACCCACTCGACCCCACCCCCACTCGCCATAACCCCACCCCAACCCGACCCCGTCCAACTCCCCGTAATCCCACCCCCAACTCCCGTAACCCCACCCAACGTTTTTTTTTCACTCACATTTTTTGTGTGTTTCTAGCTCACTTGTGGGTGGTCTGCAGCTCTCTTCATTTTGCATTCTTCACTTCATAAGTAAGTATGATATCTTTTTAAAGATTAATTGATCATATATGTTGCTTATTGTTGTTTGATGAACTGTTGTTGGGATTAGGAGTCTAGCTTGTGATTGCATTGTAATTTAGATTTTTAAGTAACCTGTGGGTAAGACAGATGCATGTATAATCAATAGAATGAAATTGATGAGTTTTTGATTTTCTGTTATTTAGATCTTTGTTTTCATGATATCTATGAGTTATAAAGAATGAGTTGTTTTAAATATTTTGTTGTAGTAGTTATGGTGTTTGATGAAATGGCTATCTGTATGAATTATATGAACTTGTGTAGGAAACAATTAATAATGATATTAGATTAAATAAATTGGTGCATTTAAATAGAAAAATATATCTTTTATTTATTGAAAAAAATATTTTTGGATGATGTATTTTATTTGTGCCAATTAATAAAATTTTCTTATGTTAAATTTTAGCTAATATTTTCTTATATATTAACAGAATGGATCGTAATTGGATGAGTGCTTTGAGAACATCTAAGGAATATGAGGACGGGGTAGAAGAATTTATTAATTACTAAAAAGAATGCTTATGACAAAAGTGGAAAGTATTTTTGCCCCTGTGTTAATTGTTTAAATGAGAGACGTTTGACTATTGATGGTTTAAGGGATCACTTATTTTGTGAGGGGATAAATTTTTGATATATAAGATGGATATGGCATGGCGAAAGAGGAACAATGCCATTAGTTGAAGAAGAGGAAGTGGTGGGTGGATTCAATGATAGAATGCATGATATGATTCATGATGTTGGCCAGGGGTTCTCCGCACAATCGCATATAAATGATAGCTTGCAAAGTGATGCAGAAATAGCTTTATACCCTGGGTGTTCTACGTATACACGGTTGACAGCTGTATTGAAGTTATTCAATTTAAAGGCAACTAATGGATGGACAAATAAAAGTTTTACGGAATTACTTCAATTGTTGGATGATATGCTTCTCGCTGATAATGTTATTCCAAATAGTGTCTATGAGGCAAAGAAAATCTTGTCTCAGATGGGAATGGGCTATGAAAAGATACACGCTTGTCCTAATGATTGCATATTATACAAGGAAGAGTATGTTGATCTTAGTGAGTGTCCAAAATGCGGATCTTCACGATATAAAGTGAAAAAGCACAAAGATAGTGATGATGGCGATGCTAATGAGACAACTAAAGGGCAACCTTTGAAGGTACTATGGTATCTTCCAATAATACCACGATTCAAAGGGTTGTTTACTAATGCAACAGAGGCAAAAAAGATGACATGACACGTTGATGAGAAAATATCATATGGAAAATATCTTAGGCACCCTGCTGATTCTCCCTAATAGAAGAAAATAGATGAAATGTATCCAGAATTTGGTAGTGAGCCAAGAAATCTTCGTCTTGGGCTTTGTACAGATGGAATTAATCCTTACGGTACTCTCAATAGCACACATAGTACACGGCCAGTTTTGCTTGTGATTTACAACTTACCTCCCTGGTTATGCATGAAGTGCAAGTACATGATGTTGTCTATGATGATATCAGGACCAAAACAGCCGGGGAACAATATCGACGTCTACTTCGCACCTTTGATTAAAGACTTGAAGAAATTGTCGGAGGAAGGTGTAGATGTGTTCGATGCACATAAACAAGAGTCCTTTAAGCTGCATGCAATTATCTTCACAATGATAAATGATTTTCCTGCCTATGGAAACTTGTCAGGATACAGTGTAAATGGACATAAAGCATGTCCTATATATGAAGCGGACACACACTACCACCAACTTAAGCATGGAAGGAAAACAGTTTATCTTGGTCATAGGAGGTTTCTCGATCGATTCCACCCATACGTAGATTGAAAAAGGTTTTTAATGGTACACCAGAACATGGATTGGCTCCAAAGCCATTAACTGGAGAGGAAGTTTATTGTAAAGTGGAAAGGATTGATGTCGTGTTTGGTAAGAATAAAAAGATTATAGGAGAGAAGAACATTTGGAAAAAAAAGTCCATATTTTTGATCTTCCATATTAGTGTAATCTTGATGTTAGACACAGTTTTGATATGATGCATATGAAGAAAAACATTTGTGATAGCCTTATTGGTACTCTTTTGCACATACCAGAAAAAACTAAGAATGGAATCAATGCTAGACTAGACTTGGCTGAAAAGGGAATAAGAGAACGGTTACATCCGCAACTAAAAGAGGGTGGTAAGAGGGTTTATTTGGAGCCAGCAGCACACAAATTGTTGAAAGCAGAGAAAACTAGCTTGTATCGATGTTTGCATAACATTAAGGTGCCACAAGGTTATTCTTCTAATATGAAAAAGCTTGTCTCGATGGACGATTTAAAGTTAGTTGGGATGAAATCTCATGATTATCATGTATTGATGCAGCAACTATTACTAGTGACTATTCGAGGTATTATGAAAGATGATGTGAGAAACACAATAACTAAACTGTGTATTTTTTTCAATGCTATCTGCAGCAAAGTTATTGACACTGAAAAGTTAGATGAATTGGAAAAAGAGGGGTATGTTATTCTGTGTCAACTAGAAATGTATTTTCCTCCAGCATTTTTTGATATCATGGTACATTTGATAGTGCATTTAGTAAGAGAGGTAAGGATCTGTGGTCTTGTATATCTAAGATGGATGTATCTATTTGAGATATTCATGAAAGTCTTAAAGGGTTATTTTAAGAATCCTTATCGACCTGAGGCATCAATTGTTGAAAGATATGTAGCTGAAGAGGCCATAGACATTAAAGGATATCTATCTGGAGTGGAAGCGCAATTAAGACTTTGCTGGCAGCTGCAACTAGGAAGTTAGACCATCCTGATCAAGTGAGAGGGTTATCAAAGACAGTTGGTTTAACCCAATATTTTGGTTCCGGTTCACAAAGCTCTACAGACAGAAGTGTCCCAAGTGCTGACCTGATGGACAAAATTCGAGCACAAGTTCGTGAAGAGATTATGACAAGTGATGAGGTTTGTCAATTCTTCAAAAATGAGTTTATGTTCGACATTCAGGAGGAGATGAGGTCTTTGGTCTCAAGCATGCAAATTGGGCAATTTCAACCACAAGAACGTACACCTCAGGTATATAATTAATCACAACATAATTATTTTGTTTTGAATTTTGTCAACATTGTTTCCATTTAATTCCATTCTTTCATTTGTATCATGGTCTCAGAATTCTCCAGCCTATGGCAGCACAAAAGGGAGTTTCAATCCACAAGTGCCATCAGTTCCGTTTGACCCTAGTCCCCACTAAATAATGGAGAACCTTGTGTTCTCTATTTAGATAACCCAAATATGCATGTTGTTGCCAATGCCATTAGATATATAAGGGGTCTAAAATTCATAATCAAAAAATCCCAGCGGACTCGGTCAAAATGACGGTTACGGCTGTTCGAGAGGAGGAGGTAGATGTAGATTTGCCGTTTCCCAGTGACGAGGTTGGCAAGCTAGGTGAAGCAAAAGGGCATTTTATTTTATGGCCTAAAAGACTCATTGACGTCATATCTCCAATGGTACAAAACACAAGCATTTTCTGATTTCTCTTTCACATACTTTTTATGTCACTTATTTTTATTGTATTTTTCTATTAGGACGTTGAAGATGCTACTAAATTTTCCTGTTTGGCACAACTGTATTATATTTATGAATCAGTTAACAAAGTCAATATACAAATGCCTAGTAGGATTGTGGGAGAGCAAATCACATATCATTTTGGATTGGACCAGAGAGATCTCAAGGACTTTCTATCCCTGGATCAGCTAGACATTGCATGGATTCAACTGGCAATAATGTGATTTTATTTTATGATTTATATTTTCTAATTGCTCATTTTTACTTATATGTATGAATTAATTTTTGTTTTGTATCAAATTTATGATAGCTACTTTCACAACTTCTGCGCTTCTACGGGAAAGGAACATTTGTATGGATTCATGTGTCCAGCCGCTTTGCAACCTTTGAAGAATAATATTGATAGCCTGGTGAGATACGTGGATAATACCATTGTAGACACTCTCTTACCTTGTTATTTTGCTCCAATTATCGAAAAGTAAGTAGCTTATATCTATATTTGCATATTTATATCTATTTAATTTTCAAAGAATCTTTATTGGTTTTCCTTCTTTTTATATTTCAGTGGACATTGGTCGTTGTGCATTCCTTGTCCCAGAGATAACGTCATTTACTGGTTTGATTCATTGGTCATCCCCCAAGCAAGGAAATGAAACATATCTTCGACACGTAAGTTTTGTGGTCAAATATATTGTTTTCCTACTTCATTAAGTTGTTCTAATCCCTAGTCATTTCTATTTTGTCATAGGGCTTTTAAAACGTATTATATACGGGGAGGGAAACGCGAGGGGAAAAATGACAAGACTGTTTGGCACAAACCAAAAGTAAGCATATTTTCAATTCTTTAATATCATCAACTATATATATACATATTCATATTCACTTTGATTTTACAGTGTCATCGACAGTCAGGAAGTGCAGAGTGCGGATATTATATTATATGTTTCATATATGAAATTATTGAGTCTGAATGTATTCAAAATTTTGAGATGGTAATAATTCATTTGATTATGATTATTTGCTTTTTTCTATTGAATTATTTTTCTTTTAATTCTCTTATTTTGATGAATTCAATCTTCTTATTTATATAACTTACAGATCTTTGATGATAAAAACTGTTATAATAATGAAGAGATTGATGCTATCCGAGATCGTTTGGCGGGGCAATTTCTTCAAGAGTTTTACACTCAAAATGATACATGAGGTTACCGGCTTAGATGGTATTGAAGTTTCTTGGATTATTATGATTTTTAAAACATGTTAGAATGTTACTAGGATTGTGTATATGTTCTTGGAATGGATCTGAATCTCTTGAATTATTATGTAATGATGTTATTAGGATTGTGGATTATGGAATAGATCTTAATGTGTAGAATTTGGCTGTACTTTATGTTTTGAAAAATTTTCAGGATTTTCTGTAAAAAAAATTCGGGAAATTTCACATTTGTACCTTTTTTTTATGCAAAATTTTCGTCTATTCATCTTGAACAAACAAAAATAGTAGGGTTAATTAATCCGCAAGTCCTTATAGTTTCAACCAATTTTGAATTAGGTCCTTATAGTTTTTTTTCTTTTTATCAGGTCCTTATACTTTTATTTATTTTTAATTAGGTCCTCGCATTTATTTTTCTTTTTATTAAGTCCTTATAATTTCACTAAAATTTTAATCAGGTCCATCTAGTTTTAATTTTTATTTATGAATTAAATATAAACTTAATTAAATAAATTAATACTGAAATATAAAATATTAATAATTATATAATAAAAGATAAGTAATATAATTAATTAATTAAGGAAAAAAATTTTAAACAATTAATTTTTTTTGCTAAAAAAATAAAATTATTATAATAATTCATTATGTTTAGAATATTATTGTTTATAAACTAATATTACATAATATATACTATTTTATGTTTATAGAATAGTACTATTAGAATTTATAAAATAAAGAATAAAAAATTCAGGGACTTACTTAAAAATAAGGTGATCTTATAAGGACTTGATAAGAAGAAAAATAAATGCAAGGACCTAATTAAAAACAGGTGAAAGTATAAGGACCTGATAAAAAGAAAAAAAAATTATAGGGACCTGATTCAAAATTGGTTGAAACTATAAGGACTTGCAGATTAATTATCCCAAAATAGTACACTATATTCGTCTGTTCATCTTGAACAGACGAATATGGTACACTATTTTCGTCTGTTAAGTTGAATAGACGAATATATTACATTATATTCGTCTATTGGTAAACAGACGAATATTCAGTTTCTATCTACGTCTCCTTCATTTACGTCCCCCTCAAAACAGACAAGAAAAGACCTGTAGAACAGACGAAAATGACCTTTTTTCTAGTAGTGTTTTTTCCATACTTCCTAAATTAATTAAGCAAATTTCTCTCACAAATATTTTACGAAAATCAGCTAATTTTAGCTATCTTTGTTAAGTGACGTAAAATGGGTGAGTGGAATTTATATAAAAAGACCTCCAGAGCAATTAGAATATTTGTACAGAAGAAAATCTATGCCCTGCAACCTGACTCTTGAGAGCACATGCCTATGGTTCATGGCAGTACATGCTCCTCTGATTTTCGACTCTTTAGCCGAATGGTGCTAAACCTCGTCACCACTGTCAAGTAATTTTCTAGCACATGATGAAAATCCTTACGATTTTTATTTAGGAGAGACTCTGTAAGTTGAGCACCAACAGGTTCTATTTTTAACAGTTGAATTGGTTAAAACGTGAGCTTTAAGTACATCAGTTGTTTCAACATTAAAACTTAATTGCTTTTTACACAACCCAGAAGAAAAGTTGACACTATAGATTAAATTCCCATGACCACTAAAATGAAGATTTTATTAGTGTTTATTTCACGACCATGACTATAGTATGTCAACCAAATAAAGTTCTCTCTTCAATCTCGAGTAAGCTAAAAGTTAACAGGAAGGTCTCTGAAGAAGGCAAAGGTACGGGGAGAAGTAGATTTCCCAAACAAGGAACACCAACGAGGAAGCTTCATCAATATTCTTTCGGTTATGTCTGTCGTTTTGTCCACATCTGTCCTTAGTTTCAGAAGAGGCCTTTGTTCTTTCCTAACCCCATCAAAAACATCCTTAGATGTCTGAGTTGAACATGTTCTTCTCCAGTGCAGATCCAGATCAAACAATGTTGGTGAATTCTTTCCTCCTGAAAACTGGATGATATGCCAACCATCCACGCCGCCCTTTTTGCCCGCTCGGATTAATTCTTCCGAGTTCTCAGTATCTGAGTATAGAAGTGGGGGACACAGAGATTGACATTAAATAAAGACACCAATCCAGGAATATGAAAAAAAACTAAAAGGACTTAAGGCTACAAACATGTATCTTTGACTCATTGAGAGCTGAGCTTTTCAAACCTTGGCACTTTCCCTGCATCCTTATACACTCTAATGATGGAATTTCCATAATGATTTTCTTTTTTTTTTTTCTTTATTTGGTAAAGTGCAGCGTTTGAGACGATGTAGAGAAAGTTGCAGTAGAGATTCAAAATCCATTTCTTTTCACCTAAGATGGATACTGATTTTATCTAACGACTGAAAATCTCTAGATAAAGATAAAACTTCAAGGGTAGAAAGGCTCAACTTCTCATAAAAGCATGAATGTGAGGGTAATATAGACAGATTAAGAAAACAGTAGGCTTGTAAAACAAAAAGGCAACGCACCTGTAAACTTGAAATCTTCTATTTCTTCTGTATTAATTGCAAGAACCCAGCGGACGGAACCCTTGGTATCGATTGAAACTCGGGTAGCCCTTTGATCGCCTTTAGCATCACTATCGACATGGAGTTTAGGAATTTCTGACTCACTCCAGCCACCTTCAGTGTCGTTGTACGTCCAGCAACCATATTTGACAGAGAAAGTCACAAAATCAACTTGTTTGTCTCTCCCACACACAAAACCTTCTTGAATCTGTTCTACCTCCTTCATCAACTTTCCAGGAGTAGTAGAAAATAATGACACATATGATATATTCTGTTTCCCTTCAGCAAAGTTTCCTGTTGCATCTACAACATGTACAACCTGAAATATATCCCCAAAACAAATGTACAATGTGACAAGCATAACATATGAGAGAATATGTTGTGTTTTACATTCAAATATTAACTAAAGCAATCAACTGATTGTTAAAACGATGAATAGCGTGCGTTAAATGTCTGCTTCACTAATATCTTGAATACTTTCATAACATTCCAAGGCTAATGTTAGGATTAAGTTGATAATTTCAATTTCAAAATGTCAGCTTAATTCCAATAATAGACCTAGAAAAGAAAGTATATCTAAATATAGACGACATAAAATTGCTCATCATTTTAGTTTTCACATAATTGTATTTTTTTGACAATAGGACCAACAAACAACCATAGATCATGAAGGTTAATGGTAACTGAACAAACAACGAGAGTTGAATAAGACACTTTAAACTGTTCAGGTACAAAGTGATTGAAGCTCACACCATAGACGGGTAAACTACATACTTAATCATCAATTAGGGATGGAATTACACAGTTGAGACTTGAGAAGTAAATTAAGATTCTTCAACGCCCTTAGAACAGAAACAATTTAGGATCTAATTACTCCTGCTAATGTTTTCAGCATAGTGATAACTAGGGAACCAGTAAAAGCTTGGACCTTTGAGAAATAGTAACAGTAGTCAACAAGCTTCCAAAATTAGTGCAGCAATATCTTTTAACTGATGGTCCAAAAAGAGAGTGATGAAATAGTTTGATAACCATGTGACAGGTATTGAGAAACTACAGATTTTCACATGCAAATGTTTGTTTAGTGTCATGAAATTCGGTAAATGCAGAAAAAATGTTTTCCAATTTTATCTTTTACTATGTCTTTTAGCAGTAGTTGAAACAGATTAAAAAAAAAGGTTAATACGTTTGTCATATTTTCAGTACAAGATATGGAAAGTTAATGAACGAAATCAAGCAGCACATACTCATACACACGGAAGAAGACCAACTGTAGACAGATCCAGCGTTATACATGTCATTCAAAATTAGTGATAGTATATAGGCATCATGAATAATGCAAGCCAGGACAGTTCCGCAAAAAACAGAATTCAGGTAACTACTTGTAAATTTAGTACCAAAAAACATTGAAGAATACAGGTGAGAATGGGCATTTACATTTACAGCTCTTGCAGTGTCTTCAGTAAATGGCGGGACAGCACCAGATAATACAAGTGCTAAAGATACGCTGAACAGCATCATACTTCCTAGGATGATTGGCCTTTTAGCACCTGCATGCGAATAGATAGTAAGGTATGTAATAACAAGCATCGCTAAACAAAGATTTTTCTTTTAAATATCTACTGGTACATGAATGTAGTAGGTAAGAGGAAGAAAGTGAGAAAGAGAGAGAGGAAAGAGATGTACAAGAGAAACAGAGCGATGGATGTGAGAGAGAGATTGAATAGTGCTAATCTGTCATTAACAGTCAAAACTGAATTATAATAGTCATACTCTTAGTATTTATAGACTCCTCCTGCGAACAGTGATTAACGACCTATTCTTGTCATATCCTTTTTCTCCCCCAACCTTGTCATATCAACATCTTCCTTTTCAAGGAAAGGCATTTTATTCTACAACTCTTCCTTTACAAAATAAGGGGCAGAAGGTTTTGGAACATTAAAATAATGATATTTCAAAGTTGAGAACCTCAGGATCCCTGAATATTGCTTATTAAAGTCTTCGCTTCTTAGCACATCTAAATAATAGACTCAAACGTGGTTAATCTAATAGCAATGAATGCAGATTCTAATGTGCCATTTATCGATGCCTTTTTTGACAACTTTTGACCAAGCATTTCAGAGCCTAAGGGTAATGGAATTTCCCCCCTGGATTACAGGTAATTTTACAGCATGGTTGTTTTACAAACTAGGTATCCATTCATTAGTTTGGATCACTTGAAAATTCTAGAAGGCCACATAAAGCTATTGAAAGGAAATGTATCTTCGTGGGCACTAAGTTTTTAACAGATATTTTACATGTCAAGAGTCCAAATCAAAGTAATCTTCATCGTAAGATCATCTCAATTTAATCATTTCACATGTTGTAAACATCAACTCCTCCTCTTTCTTCACTCCCCCCCCCCGGGGGGCACTTCAAGAGATCTATAAGCTCAAACAGTATGCCTTACAAGCAATCCTTCAAAATTATAACATTCGGTTCAACCAATAAATTATCTAACTCATTATCATGGAAAGTAAGACATGAACGCTGATTGCAAAATATTTATGCAGTAAATAAAACCTGAAATATGAACATAGGCTAGGAGATACACTAGGGTCAAGGACAAGAGAGCAGCAATAAATCCGGCAATCACAAAATTCCCCAGCCATTCAGGTGTACCACCAGGATTCCTGCATCAAGTTACATAATGGATGGTGAAAATATAATTGGTGATTATTAATGAAATGGGAACATGCAGCAGGGTCCACAGCAAATTGATGGTTGTGGTAGCCATAAGGCTACTCCAAAATCAAAACGTGATGCGCATGAAATTTCCATTAAAAATGTGGCTCTGATGTTCTAATATTTACCACAAATTAGCTGTGACAGGCAGACTATTAAAAACTAATCTAAAAACAAAATGAAGTGCCAGCAGCAGTTCTAAGCAATAGACAAATCTTTCACGCAGATCAAATTTCTACATTGATCAGGAAAGAGATTGAGGTTTACCTATCAAGACGGACCATACTGCCTATGACGATACCAGCCAGCCGGATAAATGTGCCAGCAGAAATTAAAACTGGAGCAGCTAACCCTAGAAGCAAGGTTGCCAATTTGAGTGGCTTTGGCAACCTTGCTGGGGTTAGAGTTGCTTCAAAAAAGCCATCTGGAATTTAAACCAAGATTGAGTAAAAGGAACAAAAATTATGTTTCAACTCAAACAAGGACAACAAGGAAGCAGAGATGGTTACATGCAAATGCTGGTGAGATTAACCAAACAAGAGCCAAGTAAGACGACCCTATTTTATAATAGCTCCCCAAAATGAGAAGAATAAGCCACTGAAAAGACCCGGCTTTGTAGAGCCACCTTTCAGCCTCTACCTTGACAATTTCAACTTGAATAGCCCGGGACAGTTGTTTTCTCCTTGATTGTGCGCCCAAGAGATATTTTTGAACTAGAAGATAACCCAAATGTTGACCTGTCAATGATCCAAGAAAAGCTGGTGCAGCAAATAATCCAACCACCAACCATGGGGTTGAAACATATGGCACTGGTGACCACGATATCAAGGATAGAAAAAAGGCTGCCAGGAAACTGAAACCTAGGCCAAACACCCACATCAGGAGAACACTCAAACATGACAAGGCCAATGAAGCAACAGCCGGAAAACCGCCCATAAGCAATGATGTAGTCCAAATTAGCAGTGATTGCATTATTACTGAATTATGAAGGATATTTGCAAATTTTTGATGGTAAACGACCATGTATGTTCCCTGAAAGAATCATACAATTACTGAGTTATGATATCAAGAGAAGCAGCACGCTACTACAGCTACCTCAGAAGAAACGATTTATAAATAATAAAGCCAATAGTGGAGATGTAATTGGAATAATGAAGAAGATCGACAAAGCCTTCGCAGCAATGAAGTACCAGGATGTCAAAATATATGGCATTGTTTTGACTTATTTCTTCTTCTGCTTCTGTTGTATTGCTTCTGGGAAACTGAGGAGATGCAGCAATATGAAGCAGGAAAGCAAGCATATTTTCCCCTAAATGTTGAAGAGATCCTTTCTTTAAGAGCGCCAGTTTGTCATTCTGCAAAAGGAAAACAAATTATACTCTAAGCATTAGAACCCCATATTAATGCCTCCTAGACATCTCTCCAACCCCACCTGCTTTGTTTCAATATCATAAACCAAAATCAATATATTTTAAGCAATTATTTAAATGTGAAGTTTAAAATGGGCCAGCTTTGACAAGAAATTAATCAAACTCTATTTTTAATAAATTATTCGGAAGTTTCAACAGCAGGAAACTATACATCTTTACTCATTTAAAAGTTTTTCCTTTTACTTCTCTCCTATCTCGTAACAAATTAAATGTTGGGATGTTTTGCTGGTGACTTGCTTTAGCACCGGCTCAGTTTTCTTCCGATTAGGTGATTGATCACATAGAAGTAATCATTAATTAAGATCACAAAAGAAATGTAACAGATAGCACCATCTACAGTAACCATCATCCATATTCCATGCATATTTTACCAGAGAAAGACAGATATGCACTATTGCAGGATTATTTAGAACAGAAAGCTGCATATAAAAATAAACATGCATATTGCCTTGCTGTCACAATTATTCAAATTGCATCTGCCTAGTTGCAAATGAAAGGACTTCTCTTCTGCTTCCACCTTCCAATGGGCCGAAATACGAATATGTTTTGCAATCTAGCACTAGAATAGACACCTGATTTATTAAATGAAGTAACATTACATTTAGAGACAATGAAAGGAAGAAAAGACTTCCTCTCTAACTAAAAGATGTAGCTCGCAAACAATACAATAATCTTATCCTAATTAGATAGAACACAATATAATCCTAAAAGTATTGAAACATTATAAAAAAAATAACTAAAAAAATAGGCCTTAATTAAAAAAAACAAAGTTCCCATAAATAACTCAATAAATTAACACCAATATCCAACAGTTGCTTTAGTAATTTTTCAGCTGGCACATTACGATTTTCCATGAAGGTGCTAGGTAATAAAATACAAAACAGACACTCGTCCAGGAATCTTGTTAAAAAGGAAGGATAGAAAGAAACCTTCGTATGATAAACTGCAGTGTTATCTACATATGCAAAATCAAGGCCAGAAAGGCCAGCAACTTCTTTGTACACCTGGAAGTCTGTTGCAGATTTTATGGCTCCTGAGGAAAAAAGGTCCTGCAGTATTAATGTTGAAGATAATCAAAAAGAATTCTGAAAGCATGTAGAAGAAGTAAATCAATCAATGATAAAAAAAAGAGTAACATAATACAAATTAATAGGAATTAGGAAATAAACATAAAAACCTGCGCTATAGTCTGCCCAGATGGGTATTTTGCTACTGAAGCAAACCTCTCAATAGCCCATGGATGAGGACCAGCCTACTAAATGCAAAGTCAATAGTGATAAATAATGAACTTGAAATTATTATTGGACTCAGAAGAAAAAAACAAGTAGCAGAAAGAATGAGATATTGATGTCAAAGTATTGAAAAACTTAAATTTTCAGATTCTATGAATAAAGAAGAAGCAAAATTTATTTCTGTAAAATACTTTATTTTGGACTGGTTAGGTGATTTAAAATACAAGTATTTCATAATTCTGAATCACAAATAAATAAATAAATTGTTGATGCAACCAAAAAACGTGTCCCTCACATTATTTTACTAGTAAAATCCATTGAAGAAGTACAACTATAGACACAATTCAAATCCACTGAGGAAGATGATTAACCCAGACAAAGCAATTAAAGTAGAAAAGATATTTCTTGTTCTGTTGATATTTCATCAGTTGGAATCAACCATACATAGCCAAACAGTACGATAGTGCAATATGAATGCTACCAGTAAATTGTGACCAGTAATTACTAATCAACAGACCTGAAATATACCAGATTTCCCTCCAATGCCCATGGCCTCCAGATCAATAGCCATATGAACAGTTTTACTCCAAGGATGCTGCATTCATAAATTTATTCTTACTGGCAAGATAATGATTACTCCTCAAAAAGATGTGATTCAAAATTAAAATACCAGAAAACCAATATACTAAAAATAATGGAAGAGCAACTCCTAAGATCGAAACAGAAAAGGAAAATGAAGAAGTTGAAATTCAGTTGGGGATAATGAACATCTGCTCCCCGTTTTGAGGAGTAGTATTAGTCATTGTAGCTGTTAGGCCCGTTATCCTCAGGGATTTGTCCTTATGGCCTGATTCCATGGGACTAAGTCAACTTAGCTTCCCATTTTATTCCTTGATTTTGTACGTTCAATAGATCTATATGGTTTATTATTATTATTATTATTATTATTATTGCCACCGTCACAATTTTATGTAGAAGACTGTCAAAAGTCCAAACCAACGGAGAAGCAGATACAGAAACAAAAGTTAAGGTTGCAACAACAAATAATTCCAAACCTGGGTTATAAAGCTGTGAGCACCACTCAGACCCTCCTCCTCCCCGGTATTAAATAAAAATATTATAGCTTTCTTCAATCCATGAGCCCATTGAGAAATCCCACGTGCAAGTTCCATCATAACAGCTATGCAGGAACTGCAATCTCCAGCGCCTTCTCTGTTACAACCATGCCAAACCTTAATACAGTGTCTTAACATATCATTATCTTGCTAAAGCCTAAATGTAGATGCAAAAGCCTTAAGAATAATTCATTTTACTTTATCCACAAACTTATGAAGCGTCACGCAAATAGTGACAATTTTTATATAGGGCCCTTATTTGTCCCAGAGGCACTCGTTCTTAAAGTCAAAAACCTCAAAACCTTCATACTTTAAATGAGGTAATATGATCTTCTATCTTTCTCCTTGAAATACAGAATTTTAACAGCATCCCTAAGCATGATTCCATCTCCCATCTCTTGTGCGGGAAAGAAAAAGTTAAAAATTACTTAGTTGGGCTACATAAGTGCTTTTTTAGATAGGCATACATACAAATCTATACTTGCTGAGATGCATAATGTATTCATACCATTATGTGGGATCACAAAATTTATTTTGTTAAAGATCATTTCAACTCAAAAGCCGAAGTTGTTGGGCAGCAACCCAGTGATAATTTTATTATAATCTTGAAGACATCCCCTCAGGCAAATGCCTTCTGCGCTTGAACCTTTAATTATAGACAATGCAACACCGACCATACATGGTTCTGAAACATTAATTAAGAGAATGGGTGGCCACAAGGATCAAATTCCTGACAAGGTTTGAAAATTTGTCAAGGACCATTCCAGCTCAAGCTTAAAGCAATTAAATGAAGTCCCATGAATAAATTCTATCATAATCTCTAACATGTTTCAATAATAGGAAATTTTAAAATTATAATATCGCATTTAACAGCATAAATATAAGATCAAATGGACAAAGAAAACATACGTTGAGAAAACAGTATCAATATGAGAAGAAACTAGAATAGATTGCTCTCTTGCTTCAGATACATATTTTGGCGAGATCCTCACTACAACATGTTTCAGGTCTGAATAAACAAGTGTTCTCCCCATAAATAAACCACTGTCCAAACGATTTGCACCAGACTTTGCATGGAAAAAGTCCACTTCAACATCCACTTCCCAGTGAGCCGTTTTCTTAATGGTTTGGCATACTGCCAAAACATACTGAAGTTGGAAGAATGTTAATAAAAATGTAAAGTTAACAAAGCATGGACAAATAAATTACTGCAATTTGTTTAATAGTTTGATGCTGATACCTCAGTCCACAATGTGGAATGAAGGGAGCAATCAAATTTATCATACGCAAAAGAAGGAGACATGGAAATGAAGGACAGATAAGAAAAGAGCAAGCATAAGTCTATGCATTCAGAGTGAGCCAGTTTCAGTGAGAAATAATATATTTAAATTAAATTTTAAAAAATAAAAGTCAGTTCTTAAATTTTGAGATCTCATATGGTCAACCCAAATAACAATAAAATAGTAACTAATTTGCGCTTTCGTTTCATAGTAGGTTCTAGGCTGCAATGCTTTACACCTTATAAGTCGATTTACTTCAAACTAACTATAAGATAGCTTTTGATAGCTGAGGGGTAATACAAACCAGCAGGCAAGTTCTAACTCTATCATTTAAGGCTTTGGTGCTTGAATTTAAGTTTCAGGCCCAGCTTGATTTGAAACATTGAGAAACTAACATTAGTGACTTCATAATCATCAAAAAGATGCTGAAAGGCATGCTATCTGATAACTTTTCAATTCTCAATCCGTCTTACAAGAAGCACTTGGCCTGTACAATGAAAGAAGGCAGCAGAAGGAAGATACTCAACACCCCTTAAGCGAAGTTTTGAGTACAAGTTTTGGAAACCAAAAACAAAAAAAAAAAAGTAAACCCTCCTCCTTATTTGGGGTCCAACCCGGTTCAAATCCAGATTAATCAGTGTTATCAAATACTAAATGGTTTGTCACCATCCGGGGGGGAAAAGAAATCTCCGTTACCAAGTTTGAGAAGATTTTCAACCCATATGTTTCTAAAATAAGAAAGATAACAATCATGAAATCTATGAGTTATTTTCTAATTCCATGTAGGCATGTACTACACTACATTTTAATCAACATGTTAAAATATTTAATAGCAAGAATCTGCACATGGCGAAATAGAAAGATGAAATGAAAAAGAAGATATCAATAACAAAACTGTGCATTTAACTCGTCCAAGCTCCACTGAATAGTGAGATGAACTGAGAAAGAAGGTATCAATATATGGCAAAATTATCTGGGTTGAGAATCCAACCTGCAGGGCAGAATCCAGAGCCTCAGAAGCAACGGGATGTGGGCCCAACTCAGTCAAGGCCTTGACATGCTTCAAGGCTTCAATCTCTGAGAAACCCCTCTTGCCTGCCTGTTCTGCAGTGAGAGGCACAGGCATGTTTTCAAATTGGTATCTATATATTGCTGAACAGCAATACGTGATCACCACGAACAATGTTAGCCACATATAAGAAGACCTCCTTGGGTTTCCAAGATGAAAATTGATTTGGGAATCTTCATCATCAGTAGACGTGCTACTTCCTTCATTACTAGTCGCTGTTTGAAAAGCTGTTGAAGGAGTTTTATGCCTCCTTTGCATTTTATGCAAATTCAACTGAGCAAGCAGCCTATAGAGAAATCAACGACAGAAAATATTAGTTCATCGACCACAGCAAAATATTTTCTGATGGAGATAAAAAAAATTAAGCCAAAACGCAGCAGGAGTAGTAAGCTTTCGTTAATCAGGCATCCAAAATCGATTAAACAAGCAGCTTAAAAAGAGGGGGGGGGGAATTGAATCCTACAATTATGAATTATCAATAAAGCCACAACCAAAGAAGACTATGATGTAGAATATTAACTCACCAATTAATGGAATGACAATTTTCAAATGTGGTTTACAAGTAATGAAAATTGCAGAATGAAAAGTAAGCTTTGGAGAACCCAGTATGCTCTATGCAAAACGTACGGCAAAAACGGAGACTTTACTCAATTGGGTTAATTCCAAGCTTAGAGTAATGAACCATGGACAAAGAAACAATCATGAACAAAAATATGAAACATTCCTTCGCAAATTGAGAGTTTTTTATTACTGAACAAGTGTTTTTTTTTTTTTTGGTCAGATTACTGAACAAGTTAAACGTCAAAAGATGCGTGATACAGCAAAAGAACAAAAGATTACATAACTTGAAAGGATACATACAGAACACAAGTTTCTACATCTCACCAGTAAATTGGAGGGAACGAAATTGAATGATATGGAGTAGAAAGAACGGGGAGTCACTATGTTCGGATCTGTTTGCTGTAAATTGCTAAGCTTCCCAGAGGCGGAACTGTTTCTCCCGCATCTAGGATAGTTTGACTTCTACCAGTCTCTAACGCCAGATAGCTGTTTTTAAATTTTCTGATTAAAAAATTAATTGTAAAAATACGTGAAATTTGTTTAAAGATTAAAAAAAATTTACGTTGAACCGATATAACTTTTTTAATGGTATACAGTTTATTTTTTAACTAGATTCTAACCCCTTTTTAAAAACAATGAGAACTTAGAGATGCACCAAAGTTTGTTATTATCATATCCCACGCCCCAGTAATACTACTTAATACTCTCCGGTCCTTAATATATGACCCAATTGTTGAGTTAGTTTTGATCCTAAAAATATAGATATATTTCTTATATTGATCAATTTTCTCTAAATTACCTCTATGGATACTCCATCAACCATAATCAAGTAGAAGAGGGAGAGGGGGGTATTAAGAAAGATGGTTATGGTATTTTAGGAAAAACGTGTCAT